GGGGGGGGCAAGCAGCGGTGTGGCTGCTCGCCGCCCCACAAAAGGCACCGCCGGGCTCGGGCTGCTCCGCACGCCCGGCGCACCGGAGCGCGCACGGACACGCACACACACACACGGGCACTCACACACACACGGACACACTCGCACGCACTCACACACACGGGAGCGCCGCGATGTGCGATGCGCGATGCGCGACGTGAGGCACCTCGCACGCCGCGGGGCCGGGGAGAGCCGGCGGGATCCGCGTTGCCAGCCCGCCCGCCCCTGCCGCTCCCTCTCCTCCAGACCCATCCATCAGCCTCTTCCTCTCGGTCTGCTCCTGCCTTTCTTTTATTTTCCCTTTTTTTTTTTAATTTTTCTTTTTTTAAATTTGCTCTAACTGTATCTATCCAAGCATAGAAAAAATGCCTGCCCGTGGAGCGAGGAGAGGGCACCGGGTCGGTAAATAAGAAGTGAGTACGAGCACAATGGCGTGCCTCCCCGCTCCCAGCCCTGCGGATGCTGCATGCGCCCCTGCTTCCCCCGCACCGGACAACGGGATGCTCCCCGCGGCGGCCCGGGGCTCCTTTGTACCTTGCCTGGCTCCGTTCCCCTCCCTTCCCGGCCCCGCTCGCGCCGCGCCCCGGCTCCGCCGCCGGCCGCCTCGCCCCCGCGCCGCTCCCCGCGGCGGAGCATCCCCGCTGGCGGCAGCTTCCCGGGGGCTACCGGTGCTGCACCCCGCGGGGGCGGCGGGCGTCCCCCGGCGCACTGCACCGGCCGCGGGGAGGGGGCGGCGGGGCCGGCGGCGGTGCCCGGTGCCCGCTCCTTTGTTCGCCGCCGGCGGCCACGGCGGATCGGCGTTGCTCCGGGCGGACTCGGCGGCACCGGCCCTGGGGGATCGGAAGGGCTCGGGGGTTGCCGCAGGAGAGAAGGCGGCGGCGGGAAAGGGGCTCCCCCCGCCAGGGTGCGGGACGGGGGGGCTGTGCCCGAGCCGCCGGTGCCCGTGGGGCGGGGGCCGGAGCTGTGGGAGGCGTGACCGCGGCGCGCGTGGAGCGCCCGGCGCCCACTCCGCGGGCTGTGAGGGGCGCCCCGGGTCCCGCTCGATCCGGGCTGGGGCTGCCACTCTCCCCCCGACCCCTTTTTCCGGAGCAGCGGTGTGTGCCGGAGCCCGGCGGGTTCCCAGGCGGTGACTCTGCCAAGTACCACCTTCCCTGCAGGGACGCATCCCATCACCGCCGTCCTGTGGGAGACTTTCCTCTCGATTTAGATCTGAGCTTTTCCCACCAGCGGCTGGAAGAGCTGTCTTGGCCATTTAAAACGTACTGGTTATTCAAAACAATTTAAATATAGCTTGTGTGGTCACTGCCGTGACCATCTTCCCGCAGGAGACCTTTATCTGCACTTGATGTGGAGGATTTTTTTTAGTGCCCATGTACTTACTGGTAGTCACATGAGTTATCCAAGTACTTGATTAACACATTCAGCCACTCTTTTCCTAACCCGGTGGGGTTTTTGTAGCTGTAAATAGAAATACCTGGTCTAACAAATGCACGACTCTTCCAGTAAGCACACCTATGTTGTACCACTGTTTTGTGAAAGGTGTAATCAATAAACTGTTAAGACCAGTATGATGAGCAATGTCTTATTTTTACAGTTGTGTCTGGGGAGTTTAGAAATGATCACATGGCTGTTCTCCGAAAGCATTTGCTGGATCATAGGACAAAATAGGTGAAAGAGATAAGGCTTTGTATTTTCCGGATACTTCTGTAATGCTGAGGTAGAACAGAGCTGGAAGGCTGCCTAGCAGTGCTTGAGAGAACAGTGGACATAAAGAATCTCTGCAACAAAATACTACCTTAGAGTAACTTAATAAAATGCAAGGATGTGGGGGAAATATTGAAATTTTGGAAATGATTCAATATTATACAGGGACAGACATAGAAAATGTTGCAAATGTGTTTATGCATGTAAGATGGACACTACTACTTAGAGAAACAGATATGTTGTAAGGTGTTGTGAGATTAAGAGAAAAATTAAGCAGTTTAAGAATTCCATTTAGAAGCAATAGAATTCGTGTAATCTCTTGGCAAGAAGTTTAGTTAGTGAGACCTGAGTGGCACTGTAAACATTAACTTTCTTTTTTTATTTTTCCCAGTGGCGGCACCTGACTTGCTGGATCCCAAATCGGCCACTCAGAACTCCAAACCAAGGTTATCATTTTCCACCAAGCCTACCGTGCTCGCTTCACGGGAGGAAAGCGATTCAGCCATTAATGTTATGAAATGGAAGACAGTCTCAACAATTTTTGTGGTGGTAGTCGTGTATTTAATAATTGGAGCAACAGTATTTAAAGCCCTGGAGCAGCCTCATGAGACCTCCCAGAGAACTACCATTGTGATTCAGAAGCAGACGTTTGTATCTCAGCATTCCTGTGTGAATGCAACAGAGCTTGATGAACTGATTCAGGTAATCCATACCAAACCCCTCATCACCTTGCCTTAGAGGAACAAATTATATATGGCAGTACTGCCATGATAAGGGGCAAAATCTTTCTAAGTGAAGCTCTCTATTGGCCAAGCAATGTAACAAGTGTTAAGACCAGAAGCTGAGCATTTGCATTTTCATGCAAAGCGTCATGGTTGAAAAGCTATTGCTATTTTTAGGTCCAGTATGCTTGGTAGAGGGCCTTTTCACTGAAGCCTCCCATTATGCTAATGAAATGATTATTCATCAGCAATATATATAATTAATAGTTCACAAAGGAATTGGTATATTGATTGTGCTTTACAAGTTCTGTCAATATTTGAAGTGCCTAATTCTGAGGAAGAAGCTACACTATCCATTGCCTTAAAGGACTCCTAATTTACTGTGATTTTTATCAAACTAGTGTTCCTTCCAGCTGCGTGCTTCTTTATATTGATTTTGTTTTAAGTACAGGAAAGTACCATGGGCTTCCTACTTTGATCTTAAATCTCAATTTTCTCTGCTTCTTAAAGGCACATCCACAAATTATGTACATTGGTGTGTTCTTATTAACACTTTATTTAACTTTATTTATTTATTTAACTATATTTATTCCTATTTAACTTTACCCTTGCAGGTCACCTGCCTCAGAACCATGGGAGATATTTATTTGCAGTAGCACAGAACTAGATCCAGAGCCTTATAAATCCCCTTCCAACTTAAATCTCATGTTCCTATGAATATCCAGTGGCACTGGAGGGAAAAGCAGAGGGCTGCCAAATCACATCAGTTCTGGGCATGGGACAATGAAATGCGGGACAATGAAATGAGCGAACAGTCAAGAGTTGGCAAGGATTGACTCCTTCCTTAGCAGTGGCCTTGGGGCTATTTGGGTCTACAGAGGCCAAGATGGGACAGGGAGAGCAGGAGAGGGTGTTGGGCACCCAGACTTATGGCAAGCAGGAACTCTGAAGCATGCCAGATGCATGGGTAGAAAAAAATTTCTGGAAGTGTTTTTTGTCAGCAGATGTGGCTGGGAGTTTAGAAGCTGATTTTACCTCTCTAGACCAATGTGCATTGAACATCATCATGAAAAATCATCAGTTTTGTTTTTTCGGTTTTAAATATAGAATTCTGATGTGCTGAGTTTTTGGTTTTTTTTTTTTTTTTTTTTTTTTTTTTTTTTTTTTTTTTGGTACACTTTTTCTTTTAGTGTTTTTTGTCAGCAGATGTGGCTGGGAGTTTAGAAGCTGATTTTACCTCTCTAGACCAATGTGCATTGAACATCATCATGAAAAATCATCAGTTTTGTTTTTTCGGTTTTAAATATAGAATTCTGATGTGCTGAGTTTTTGGTTTTTTTTTTTTTTTTTTTTTTTTTTTTTTTTTTTTTTATGGTACACTACTTCTGAATTTTAAAGGTAAGCTGGGAAAATGTCTTGTATTTTGTGATTTCTCCCCTGCCTTGTTGCTAAAATATATTCCAGAACTGCTATCCTTAAAATGCCTGTCAGACAATTCCTCTCTCCACTAGTCCAAGCAGGCATGCCTGAGGAGATGCTGCCGATAGTGATTTAGATACTGTGTAATAACTGTGTTCCAGTGGTTTGACCAGCAGAATGTGAGATAATCTTTCAGAGAAATATACAAGCACATTCTGATGAAAAATAACTCTTGTAGCTACTATAAATATCCTCCTATGAAATTTTTAGGTCAGATACTGTACTTGTGAAGATAAAAAAAGAAATTTTGAAGCAATATTATCTTACATCATCTGTGAGATGGACCTTAAGGCAAAAACTGTTGAAGTTTGCTCTGGAGTACTTAGATATTTTAGCATTTATGATTCTCTGCCCAGAAGCACAGATTGATAATAAAACCCCACTTCATCAGCATTCAACGCCCATTTGATATTCTGTGTAAAATAAATGAGTTTCAGTACAACCATCAGAGAACAGATAACCATATCGGCAACAGCTTCCATCTCCACTAATGAACTTGCCACAACCAGAAAAGCACAGGCGTGTGAAGCATGGGGAGTGACACAGCCTCCCACAGCACATGGATGAGAGAGAATTGTGGAAAGAGTTTGCTCTGCTTGCTGTTGGGGTAAATGGAAAATTTAATTTGCCATTGATTCCTTCTGCTTGTCTGTAAAGAGCACCATGATGTGGAGGTAGGAATGTGCTATTACACTCCTTTCACAGGAGCAAAGCTTGGGCACAGGGAGCCTGTTTGGGTGGCTTGCTTTATGCAGAGAAAGTGTTAGTCAATGACATCAAGTCAATGACATTAAGGGCTGGGAAATTCTGCTTTCCCAAAATAAAATAGAAAAGCAATGGTAAACAAGAGTCTCTAATTCATTTTTCCAGGTCAAGGCTACTATCTTACTCACTGGGGTCATATTTTTTCCCTAGTTGCCACTTTGCCACAAAAACTAAATTAGTGAAATACATTTTTTCTCCCTGGCATTATGTCTGACTGCTATTACAATATAATGCAGCGTTTCTTCAGTTTTTGTTGGATGTCTGTATGAATAAAAATAAATAGTGCGTGCAAGGAAAAAGTAAATGTTATTTAAGAATTCACTGAAAGCTATAAAACTGAAAATTAATATGTACTAGAGTAGAAGGGAGCTGGAATGGTTAGTTTGTGTGAAGAAAATTACAGAGCTTAGAGACTGTAATGTCTTCTTTAATCAAGTATTTACCTTGAGTCAAACTATAATGAAATTCATTGCAAGTTTCTTTTTGAACTTCATGTTCTCGGAATCCACATACTGTTTTGGCTCTTTCATGCTAGTCATTGCTCAAGGTGCTTGTCATACCAAGCTTTTTCGATCTTCACAAACTTCTGCTCTGTAGTTCAATCCTTACTCTGAAGGAGGCTTGACTACCTGAAGACTGTCTACAGGCAGTACAATATGTGGTAGCTTATTCAGGTGAGCACATCAGAGAGACTAGGTGGAGAGAACAAATTCAGCTAAAAAAAAAAAGCACAAATGGAATGACAGTCCAGTTTCCAGCACCCAGGAGCCATGGAGTTTCCAGCACCTTGGCTAAAATCTTCCTTTTGTCACAAAGCTGTTTAAAACAATATTGTGTGTTTCTATATATACATACAGGATAAGGATTTTTCCCTTCCTGTTTCCTCCATCCTTATGTTATCTCACCAGTCCCCAGTACCTGTCCTGGTACAGCATTATATACTGTTGCCAACTCTTCAGCAGGCACCGGTTATTTCCTGGGTTTTGAATTCCTGAAACTTTGTATTGTCACATTGATTGTGTGGCTCTTCTGGGTGTACTAGGTGAGAATTATACTTTTACAGACATCATATATTTTATATAGATGTAAAATATGGGGCAACAGAGAGCTGCTATGCAGCCTAGAAAATGTGCAAAGGTAATGGAAGAGAGTGCTTTAAGGATGGCAATGAGGTAAATCCAGCTGCCTCAGAAGAAGGACCTGTATTTTCCTCATAACTTTTCAGCCCTGTCCAGCAGCGTTATTCCTGTGCTGACAAAAAAAAAAAAAAAAATGTTGTGAAAAAAAAAAAAAAAAAAAAAAGATATGGTCTTCATGACTTCTTCTGTCTCAGACTTCCATGGTCCAGTATTGCAAATCTTTCAGTCTAAAGCACTTCAGTTATTTGTTGCCTCACTGTCACAGAATATACCTGAAATGAACAACAACAGTGCATGACCTTAAGAGGTATATCCAGGTACATAATTTGATATTTTGTGAGCACTTCCATTTAGTACCATATTAAAAATGTGCAAAAGTCATGCAGAGCATATCTGTGCACCAAAGAGACCAGTTTTTCCAGGCAATTCCATCTCCTTTTGCTGTAGCCTGAAGCCAGTGTTAACAACAGCATTAAGTGGATCACTGGATGCTGTCTCCAATGGTGCTGAGGTGGGCAGTGCACAGCACTCAGTGGTGGTACATCTAAAATTTACAAGTAGAGAAATACCCCAGGAGGGAGGCTTGTAAAAGTACAAAAAGTACCTGGGTGAGTAATGAGAATACAACAGAGCAGCAAACTGCTCTGATGTTAAATGTTAAACTTCACTTTTAAAAAGTTTCAGTTGGAAGGTCTTGTGAGGATCTCATTTGGTAACAGATGAGAAAACATTGATTTGGTAAAGGTTATTTGTGATATTTAATGCATTATAAAGCTGCAGAAAGGAATGTAGCCAGGTTCTTTCCTACTATTTCTTCTTTTGGAGAAGAGCTCTCTACAATTCATCATGAATGGTGGTTTGGTTTCTCTCTGTGCCTGCTCTCAATTTGGCCCTGCCATGCAATGCAAAGTAACTGTCAGATGACAGAATAAAAGCGTAAATGCAGTTCAGACTGTGTGGATTTAATGAATGTGTGACAAAGTATATAAACCTGATCTTCATTTACACTAAGGATTTTTTATATCTTGTGTCCAACAATTTTTCTCTCACCACTGAGCTTTTTGTTGGTAGAAGCTGATAGAAACCTGGGAGTAATCCAGCTATACACACAAACAACAATAAGCCTTAAAGAATGAAATAATTCTCTAACTGGAGCTCTTGTATCTAACTATTTCAATCTAATTCTATTTGTCTTTTAGTTTGTTGACTGTTTCCTATAGCAAGCTTGCCACTAAGCATTTAAAATGTTAGAAACATCTTCCAAACTCAGATGCACAAAATGTAATGTCAATAACTTTGAAAATTGTCCTGCTATATTTATGCACTTGTGAATGGTAGCAAATGTAAAGAGACCTTAGGTTTCACTGCTGCTGCTCTGGTGGCACTCATCTCTTGCAGTGCTCTGCAGCCATGAGATACTTGTGTCTTCCTTCATGTCATCTCTTGGGGTTGTCTCTGGGAACAGGTGAGCCTGACTGAATTTGATATACAGCAGTGTCATAAAATTGTCATTACTGTCGTTTCATACACCTCATTCCCTCTAGAGGATCCACAGATCCTATGGAAGAAATCAGGTGCATGCAAAACCAGTGAATTT